GGGAGAAAAACATAGGCTCATATTTCAAAAATATTAACCTGCCAAAGTTAAAATGAATTAAAATGAGAAGAGACGGAATACATGGAGATCAAGTGAGAAGGCTTCTGTAATAAATCAGGCAAAAAAATAATGAGGACTTGAACTTGGTTGGTAGCTATGAGGAAAATAATTTGGCTGGAGCCTAGGAAGGAAGTACCTTGGCTGAAGGCTACAAATCATTAGGATGAACTCTACAAAGCTTGGCAATCAATTGGATCAGGCAAAGGAGAACAAATGGTAGATCAAGGGCAAAAATGACATTTCAGGCCCAAGTTAATACATTCTTTGGATCTAAGATTTTGAAATTTATTTGAGTCACTTACCCCTTATTTTTTATCTCCCTCCTGTTCTTTTTGTAACATTTAAAATTTTGAAATATAATGTCTTAGAGAGGGACAAACACTTTTAAAGCTAACATTTGTGTAACCACCACCCAGCTCCCAAATTAGAACATATCAAACCCAGTAACGCTCCCTCAAGAGGTAATTGCTTTTCTAACTTTTATGGTGATTATTTTCTTGCCTTTTTCTAAGGGTTGCACAACTTTAACATGCATTTCTGACAATATAGTTTAATTTTGACAGTTTTTGGACTTTTTGTGAATGGAAACATACTGAATGCACTATTTGTTTCTCTTGACTCTTTTTCTAAATATTATGTTGTAAGAGTCACCTATGTTATTAATCATGTCAATCATTTTTACTGCTGTATAATATTTAATTATACGAATATATCAGTATTCATTTTACTGGTGGGCATTTGTCTTGTTTCCAGTTTGGGGCTTTACAGACAATATTGCTACGAAGAGTATTGCACATGTCTCATTGCACACATGCATGAGTTTCTCTAAGATATATACCTAGGAGTGGAACTGCTGTGCCATCGAGTATCAGTATCTTCCATTTTAGTAGATGATATCAATATAATTTCCAAAGTAGTCATATAATTTATACTCCCTCCAACAATGTATGCTCCACATTTTCACCAACACTTGATGTCTTTTTAATTTATGCAACACTAGTAAGTGTGAAACCATCTCTCATTGTGGTTTTAATTTGCATTTCCTTTACTCTATATGAAATTGGTCAATTTTTCATATTTTTATTAGCCATTGGATATCTTTTGTAAAGTGGCCATGCCTTCTATGCATTTTTATTTATTGAATTTCCCTTTTCTTACTGATATGGTGAATTTTTAAAATACCTGGATATGAGTCCTTTGTCAGTTATATCTATGTGACAATATCTCTTCCCATTTGTCATTTTACTCTTGTCCTGGTGTCTTTTGATAAGTAGAGTTTCTCAATTTTAATGTGGTCACATTTATAACTCTTTTAATTTATCTTTAGTACTTTCTGTGGTTTGTTTAAGAAATCCTTCTTTACCCAAGTGTCAGGTTGGATGGGGAACTCTGGGGGAACAGCCTCTGACAAGGAGATTTGCATGCTAGAGGCTTACCCGTAAGGGAGTGAGAAAAGCAGGTCTGTGCAGTGGGAACTCTTGAACTGTGATGGAGTCGCTTAGCAATCCCACAAGAAGCTCTGGAATGGGAAGGGTGCTACAGAGTTTTGCTGAAATACTTGGTGCTGAAATATACCCCTGTATCAGCCATAGAGGCACTCAGATGTGAGTAGTCAGCAGCCAACACTCCTGACATCTGAGGAAATGAGTGCCTCTATCCTGTGGGGTATACCATGACATCCACTACAGTCTACCCCGGTGCCAATTGGAGCTACTGGCTTTGTATGCTAAGTTCACCTTGGGATAGCTCTTCTAGAATTCTGTTTGGTCTCTTTCCTGGAAAAAGTTTAAAAGAAGAGGTTAGCAGAATGAATATAGCTCCTGCCACTAAAGCTGTCTTGAAGTTGCAACTTATATTTCTTGTCTGTCTCCAAGACTACCCATTCTAGATTCCCCGCACCCTTAGCCAACATCTCTGCTAGTCTAGGTGGCTTACCTGATATTATGACCCAGATCCTCATCCTTGAGTTGTCTGAGTCCTTGGTCAACTTACCCTCTCAGGTCATGGCTGCTGTACTTGTCCATTAACAATCAAAATTGGGAAGGGGTATATCATTGGATCACCTAGGTGCCAAACATTTTCTTCCCTGTCTCATTGTGTAACAATGGAAGAGCCCTGCCTCCTTCCACGATAAAGGTCACTAACTCCTGCCAGTATGGCAAATGCTTTCTCTGAAGGCTGAACTCTTGAAATAAGGAGGCTGGTTTCCCCTGGTAACGGACAAAAGATAACTACAATAACAAAGTCTAAAATTCAGGGATGGGAAGCACACATTTTCTAAGTGGGTAAAAGGGAGTGATGCTAAGCTGAACACTCCTACTGCGTTTTCAGACTCGCATATTCTACTTACTGGGGACACAACACCATATAACGGATGTTGACCTAGGGTATATGTCACGTCCTGGAGGATGGCACCTCATCCTTGTAGGACTCTCCCCTTTCTTGGCCATTTCAGGAAACAGAATTTTTTATTTTACTGAGATTGTCCTTAGTTGTGGAGTCAAATTTTTGCATTTTAGATTCTCCTATCATATCACTTATTTGAGTCTCCAAATATGGTATTCTATTTGATTTTCCTGATTTTTCCCTATAATGGATTATTCTAAAGAGTCTATCAGAATTTATATAGAATTCTCTTGTGCTACATTTAAGAGTTACAAAGAAGTATTTTTCTCTTTTCCAAGTAGTTCTTCCATATTGATTAGAATTAAGTCCAAAATAGTAATGCACCTCATTGCTGCTTCCGCCATCTAAGGGAGAATATCTTTAGCAAGTAAAGAGTGTACCAGATATTCAGCTTTTAGCACAGGCTCTTAAATGATAACTGAATAACTGAAGACTTTCATCACTATAACTTGCTTCTATGCCATAATCTTTATTAAAAAAAGCATCATCCATATATTACTTCAGGCTGACAGTCAATACCTCACTCCCACCTCAGCCCTTGTCTTGCTCACTTTCTTTATCCTAAGTGCTCTCCCCTGTGCTTCTTTTCTTGGGTTAATCTTTGAAAATAGAAGCATATACTTTAATATGCATTGTTTTGGGCTCTTCTCTTTGTGTATTAAATCTACTTTAGCTCTGTACTTAAATTATCAGTTCCAGCCCACAAAATCTCAGTAATATTTCTGAGATTATATTTACCATCTCATATTGAGCTTTATTCTTTTCATTAATACTATGTACACACCTGAGGAAAAGAAGCAATATTTTTATTTTTTCCCTGTGAATTTCTGGATTTTACTCCAACTCTCCTCTTCCTACTGTGCTTTTGTTGTCACACTTGCTGCCATCCATAACATCTCATTTTACAGTTTTGGATTTTTTGCCTCAATTTCTGTTCGAGTCCTATTGATCTTATTGTCAATTAATTAACCAAAGAGGTATTTCTGACATTCCTGAAATGTGTGTCTCTTTTCCCAGCTATTTGATGTTTTTGACTATGAATCCTATTTTCTAATACCATCTGTGTAGCCAGTTTGTTCATTTATCATATTCTCTTAGCTTAGGAAAAGAAAATACAATTTATGCTCCCAAGGCTTTCTATTTCCAGCCCAGGACTGCAAAGTCACGAGCAATATGAGAGATTTCTTGTCGCGCTCATTCTACAACAAATCAATAGCTATGGGCCAGAGTTCACAGGTCTGGTATGAGTTGTCAAGCATTCAGTTAGAACACTGAAAATACAGAAGAAAGCACAAGTAGTTCTTAACATTTGTGAATGAGATCACAATGAGCTCCATCTGAATATGAGGTCAATAAAAATCTACAAATAGGATTAAACTTCTTCCCCACACACAACCTAAAAGATGATTTGAAAATTTTATTTGATGAAACTAGGTATTTGTCTTGACGGAAATCGCCATCAAGTCTTCCATTTCTCATTAAGAAAAAATGTAACTAAGATGAGACATACTCTTGTATATTTAAAATGTCGCCATAATTAAAGAACAGTAATTTATGTGCAATCTGAAAAACCGATAACTTATACCTCAGGTGTTAAGAATTTGTTAGTTTTTTGGTCCTGTCAACGTTCAGGGGAGAAGATATTCTCATTCTTATGTTTCATGCAGGTTAATAAAATGAGCAAAGGTTTTGCTACCAAATTGGATTAAAATATATCATGAAAAATCTAACATGCCTCCCCAACAATCTTTTTTCCCAGCTTTATTGAAATACAATTGACATACAACAAGCTGCATATATTTAAAGTATACAATTTGATGAGTTTGACACATGCGTATACCCATGACGCAATCACCACAATCAAGATGGCAACCATATCCATCACTGCCAAAAGTTTCCTTGTACTCCTTTGTAATTCCTCCCTGCCACCCATGCCCACGCCCCCTCCCCCACACCCCAGGCCATCACTGAGCTGTGTCTGTCACTATAGATTCATTTTCATTTTCTAGCACTTTATAGAAATGGAATAACAAAGTATTTATTCTTTTTTGTCTGGCTTCTTTCACTATAATTATTTTGATATTTATCCATGTTGCTGTGTGTATCAATAGTTCATTCCTTTTTGTTAATGACTGGTATTCCATTCTCTGGCTATATCTCAGTTTGCTTACCCAAACCTTTCATTTATAATTGAGCCTTCTTCAATGAACTTGTGCCCTCCTATAACATGGCTACCATGAAATCTCCTGTCACTGGTAAAATTGATCAAGTAGCATTTCTGAAGCCACAAATCTGAGAGCAGACCTGGGATGGATGGAGTCTCCACTGAGGCTGGGAAGCTCTGCAGAAGGTCAGTTTCTCCAGTGCCTGGACAGCATCTTCCAGTCACAACAGCATGGAATGTGGAGTTTGTCATTCCAGTTTGTCATTCATTGCTGTGAAACAATGTACAAAACGCAAAGTGACCTGATTCAGAATGATTAAACTAAAGGAAAAACACACTTCCCTTTTCCTCCACCGCCTTGTCATTTCAGACCCCTAAGGGGAACTGTGCGGCATCAGTGAAGGTTGCCATTGACATCGGGTATCGGCACTTTGATGGGGCCTACATCTACCAGAATGAGCATGAAGTGGGGGAGGCCATCAGGGAGAAGATAGCAGAAGGAAAGGTGCGGAGGGAGGATATTTTCTACTGCGGAAAGGTGAGATCTTCCCTTCACACTCTATCTCCTTATATTAATGGCAGATCTGATGTCATTTTTCTCTGCTAAATAATGTTGGACTCACCAAGAGGAGTGAGTGCTCAACTGTCAGATTCCTTACTCTTGCCAACAATTTAGGGTCTAATTAGCCCCTTGAAGGTTAGGGAAAAACTCCTTCTTCATACGTGGGCATTGATTTAAAACAATATGGGAAGAGCCAAATCTACAAAGCAGAAAAACTGGGGGTAGAGGGATGTGGGAGGTGGTTCATATGACATAAGCATTTGTCTAAGCTTTCTTTTAAAGGTCAGCCTTCTTTTTCTTTTGTGTATGCTTATTTATCCATAGATCACTAATTTTTTTATCGAGATGTAATTCACACATGCTCTAGTTTGATAACACAAGCCGTAATTTTTCATTACCTAACACTTTAGAGATCAAGTAATTTCTTTTTCTTTTTTTGTTAAGCTAAGTTTCCTTTATTTACTTTATTTTTTCTGCTTTATTGAGATATAATTGACATATAACATTGTATAAGTTTAAAGTGTACAATGCACTGATTTGATACACTTATGTACTGCAAAATGATTACCACCCTAGTGTTAGCTAACACCTCCATCACATCACATAATTACCATTTCTTTTTTGTGGTGAGAACATTTCAGATTGACTCTCTTAGCAACTTCAAGTATATAATACAGTATTGACTATAATCACCAAGCTTTACATTAGGTCCCCAGACCTTATGCATCTTATAACTGGAAGTTTGTACCCTTTGACCAACATCTCCCATTGTCATTCGTGGATAGCTATCTAATTAATTATCTTTGTTGGGGGACGACGAGGCTGGGGTCTCCTCTGCTGCCATTTTGGTGACATCATTGGTTCAGCCAGAGGTCAGGTGATTTCTTAGTAGGAACTGGCAGAATTTCCCTGGGATCTGAGTAAGACCAAATGAGAACAAAGGAGCAGTGAAAGGGAATCTAAACTTTTGCAATAATTTAAAATTTCACCACCTTATGCACTGACCATCACAATGTGAAGGATCCAGAGAAGTCACACACACAACCATATTTCTTTTTCAGGTGAAGCACACCTTTTTTCAGAATGACATGAAAATAAAGCACCATGCCGGGTCAGAATAACTAGTCAGACATGTTCCCTAGTTACACAATGAGGAAAAGTGAGGGTGCTGAGGGTCAGTTAGGAGATTAGCACCAGGCAGAGGAAGACTTTGTCATTGAATTAGATACTCTGGGGTTCAGGTGGATCTTTAGGTCTCTCGTACTATATTCAGCTAAAGCTATACTCTGGATGTCAAGAGTTATAGCAGCTCATCCTATACTCAGATGACACTGTAGCATAAACATATTTTTGTGAAATGAAATGAGTGAATAAAATGTGTATGAGTGCTTTGTAAAGAATAAAGGGCTGCATTATCATAAAAAAAATAGTGTGGACGTTAGTTAACTATCCGCTTTTATTCTTTCAGCTGTGGGCTACAAGACATGTCCCAGAGATGGTCCGCCCAACCCTGGAGAAGACACTCAAGGTCCTCCAGCTAGATTATGTGGATCTTTACATCATTGAAATACCCATGGCTTTCAAGGTGAGCTCAGATGCCTAAAGGTTAAGGCTCTGCTCTTTGGCAACCATGAGCCAGCAGCTATGTTCATGAAGCCAGTTCATTACTTAGCACCGTAGAATGTTATGGTGTTTTGTTTCCATATATCAGATAGTAGTGACCTAGCCTGACAAATGCCCGGAAGGATTATGTGTAACAGATGCAGGCCTGGATCCCAAGTTTCTTGATTCATAATCCAATGCACTTTCTATTGTATCATGTCTTTACAATGACAGTTTAAATTCTCTCCATCAAACCAACGTGTCGTCCCCTAACTGTAGTCCACATTTCACTTGCCTGGCATCCAGACACACCCTCTTCCCACTCATACAGTCATGAAAATGTCCCTGCAATGCATAATGCAAAGTAATATATACAACTGAAAACCTACTCACCATCTACCCCCTCCAAAGGGAAATAATCCAAAGAATAGTCAAGTTTTTGGAGCTAGCTCCAAGATCAGGATATCTATGTGATATCTCTTCCTCTAGTTCAAATGCACTCCTTCCTTGAACTTAGATCTATGGACTCAGTGTTAATTTAACCACGAACAACACACCCAATATACACTGCTGAAGAGGAGTAACTGCTTTAAAAGTTCATTGAGGGAAGGAGAGATTGAAAAACAAAACTGGCCACTTGTCCACAAGGTAAATCAGATCCTACTGGGCAGGAAGAACAAGGACTCTCTTCCATTGCAGTGGCCAGAATTCCTTTACGCAGCCAACCTGGCTGCCCCTATTCTGTTCTTTGGAAGTATTTTCTTTACTGACTCTCCTCTGTGGTCACATCCAAGAAGAACTTCGGGGAAGGTTCCCCTTCTTCATGTGGATATGGGTTTGGAGGCTTCACAATGGCCTTGATAATCATAGGCTTTTATTGGTCAGGTTGGGATTTCATGGACAAGACAATATCCCTTAAAAGCTTGATAGGCTTTTAGTAAACTCGCATTCAGTCAACTCCATGAATGAGTAATTAAAACTAGAAATATTATAGGGTCCCATTTCTTGCATCAAATCCTTGGCCTGTGGTTTCTGTCTCTTAGTATAGAACCTCCTTTTTCTCCTCATCTGCCCAGTCTTGAGGTTAATGGCCTCCATCTGCCTTGAAATAATACAAAAACAGAGAGGCACAGATAATGTGTTCTTTGCACCCAGTCTGCATCTCATTAGATGGTGCGCCTTTGTCAGTTAAGGCATCCATGGCCTGAGATTTTTGCCTTCAAAGGGACATTGAGAACCAGAATTTTCCCAAAGTCCAATTTTATTTCCTCTAGGATTCTTATCTTCCTGCCTTGGCTGGCATTGACTTTTCTATCTCTGGAAGACTCAGATCTGAACTTCTGCCATCTTGGATGGCATCCAGGAGCAGAAAGTACCCATTTTAGCAAAATGTGATCTTACCTCTCATCTTACAAGCCCAGTAGCAACAAACACATTTATCTTTCCTCAGGACCTGACTGAAGACTGCAAAAATGACCAACAAATTCTAACACCCAACGTTTTTCTACTCAGTCCCCTTAGCTCCAATCTTAGTAGGCTCATTGTCTGAATCCAAAGACACAAGGCAACAATTTAACTAGATGCCATGCTACTGGATATCAAGAACTGCCAATTCTCAGCTGGAGGTGGGAAAATCCTCACTGTCCACAATCCCAAACTGACCTAGCCAATTCCACATTTTTGGTCCATTACTTACTACATCCCAATACCTTTGTATTAGTCAGGACTTTTGTTATAAATGGCACAAATTCAACTGAAGTAGGCATTAGCAAAAAAGGAAACTAAGAATTCCAAGAGATACCTAATTCAGGCACAGCTGGATCCAGAAGCTCAAACTATTTTCTGCACTCTAGCCTTCTCTATCTCTGTGTTCTGGTTGGCTTCATTCTCAAAAATCCCTCTCTGTATGATGGCAAAATGGCCATTGACATGCTAAGCCTACGTCATCAATACAACTCGAGAATTCAGACAGAGACCGCACATTAAACCTCATGGAGAAATACTGATTAACCTTGCTTGGGTCATGTACCTATTACTGACTAACCTTTGGTCTAAGGGCATGGATGACTGATTGATGTCTATGGCCAAGAGTGGGAGCTGGGTCAGCCCACCCAAACAGCATGTAACGAGCTCCTTCAGAGAAGACAGCATAGGAATGATAGAAAGCAAAATAACAGATTTCCACTATACTCATTAGTTAGAGGTAAGTTAGCATAGTGGTAAGGAGCATGGGCTCCAGAGCCAGGCTGCCTAGTTTGAATCCCAGCTCTGTCACGTATGAGCCAGATGACCTGGTCACATTATTACCTGGTCTCTTTTCACATCACCTAAACATGGTGCAGTGGAAAGAGTATGGACTTTGGAGTCACACAGAAGAGGGGACTGACTTTCAGCTTTATTACTTACTAATAGTCACTTTGGTCTTTCTGAACTTCAATTCCATTATCAGTAAAATGGAGGCAATAATAACTAACTTGCTGAGTCTTGTGAGGAGTCATTAAAATTAACCATGTGATATTACTGACACAATGCCTGACATTTATATATAATAAATGAAAGATAATATTGTGAAATGTTTAAGTGGAAAAGAACCTTAGCAATTATATATCCCAATAACCTTTTTCACAGAAGATAAAGTTGAGGCCTCAAGCAATGCCAGGTTTAAAGTCCATCAGAACTGGGCCCAGATGCTGGATCCCCTGATACCAATCCCATACTTGTTCCCCTACTACACTGCCCTTCCTGCCCTGTCCTCACAAGCCTAACAATCCCACGATCCTGTGGACTATTTCTTGATTTCAGGCTCTTGGGAGTTATAACCTCAGCCCTCCTTCTCACTCAGCCAACTTTGACTCTCATCCAAATGGCAGATTTCTAAGCTGAGTCTTAAAGATTTAGAAAGAACCTGTATTTAAAAGTGAGAAAATGAAATTTACATCTCTGCGGCTGACTAATGACTTGTAAAATCTTTTTGGAGAAGGTAAATAGAGAATTTCTATTCCTCTTCTTAGATGGGATCAAGACTCAAGGACACAAAGAAGGTAAAACTTTTAACAGTGAGAAATAACACAATATAATGACATTACCGCCCAACTGAGCCTGTAACTCCTGTATTTGAGAAATCAATCTTTGAAGCCAAAATATCACATGCTTTTTGAATCTCATGATTTTTTAAATCAAAAAAGCCTTTCTTGCTGAAATATTTTAGCACTTTATTATTTTTTAAATGTCAAGTTAACAAGCAGACACAATTTCAGAACAACAAAATACAAAAAAGTCATGATAAGACGTTTTTAAAAGATGAATAAAGTTATTGCTGAACAGGAACGAGAGTCAATAGCATAGATTTTTTAGAGGATTGGATTATTCTTCTAACGATGCCTTATATTAAAGAGTGGGAGTGGAGGAAAAAGACAATGGGTTTATCCAGACGAAGAGATTAGTAAAGTAAGCACAGTGGAAGCTTAACTAACAGGGACACCATAGAAACATCTAACAAGGGTTCAGGATTGATAAGGACTTAATCAAAATCTGGGAAAGTAAAAATTATTTAAGAGAGTTCATGATGGAGGCATAAAGCCATTTCAGAACAGAAGTAATATTAGGAAATGCAAAAGGCAAGAAATACGATGGAAGACTAGAGTGGAAGTGTGGGTCATATATGTGCAGAAGGTCAAAGAGCTTAGAAATCAGAGACAGAAAGGGTAATTAATGTGAGTGATTACACGGCATCGGGAAGAAAGGAGCCCTTTCCTGCTCTCAGTGAGGAAATTGAGATGAAATTGTCTTCACTAAAGAGGACAACGGAGAAAGTGTTATCATCAGGAGAAAGTTTCATTCAGGTGAGATGGCAAAGGGAAAAATTAGGGGGAAAATTTAAGAAGTTGGACTTTGTCCAACTGCTTGATTTTTCACCAAAAAACAGTCTATTATCAAGATCTACAAAGGTTTCCATGCTGCTGACCACATCCAATAGATACTCTGTCCTCACATTATTTGATCTCTTTCAACACTGTTGACTACAGCCTCCTTCTTTAAACATTTTCATCTCCTGACTTCTGAGCTCACGCTCCCCTGATTCTTTGGCAGCTTCTTCTCTGCCAACCTCCAATGGTTATCCCAGTACTCTAGCCACAATATTCTTGTCTTACTGAGCACATTCTCTCTATAGGTGATCTCGGTCAGTTGCATGGATTGAATACCATTTTATATGCTGAGGATTCCCAAACTTTATCCGCAGCCGTGACCTCTCTCTGAGCTTCCTTCTGAGGCTTCTCTGTCCAATTGCCTCCTCAAATATCCACTTGAATGGTCTTTTCAAACTCAAAATATCCAAAACAAAACTCTTGATTCCTAGCCCAACCTCAGGAAATGATTACCATCATCCACCCAAAGAGCCTAGCAATCATCTTTTATTTCTCTCTATCCCATTCCCAAGCCCATAAGAGATGGATCTCATTTTTAGATATAGCAAAAAAGGAGAAATCTGAAAGAGAGTATTCCACACCACAGTCAGTCTTAGTTGGGAAAGGATGACCTAAAAACTAGAGAAGGAGATTTGACACCCAGATAGTGTGTGAGGTAGACAAAGAGATGCTGAACTCCTGGAGAGCCCGAAAAGGGAAAGAAAAGAACCACTGTGTGGTTAGCCAGAACTGAGAAGTAGCGTGCTGTGCATTTGCCTTATTCTTAGGGAGCATTCCATTCATCAACTATACTTTTCTTAGCTGAAGAATTTCCTCTCACCCTTAGTAATGATCTTTGGTTTCTTATGAGAATAAGAAATGTATCTATTTATAAATATATAAATAATTAAACTTGAATTGCTCTTCCGGTACCAGAGTATATTGGTATATTGACAACTAAAATTCCATAATTTTAATCCCCAGATATAAATCAAATGAATTACACTTATTCTTTTTTTTGAAGCCTGGAGATGAAACCTATCCAAGAGATGAGAATGGCAAGTGGTTATATCACAAGTCAAACCTGTGCGCCACCTGGGAGGTAAGTTCAAATGAGCCTCTCTTAAAGGACAACGTTTTTAAACTGGGATCTGACTATTCTTGTCCGATTTATGGAGAGACGCAGCCTTTACTCCCAATGGAAAGTAATAGTCAGAAGAGGCATTTCTAACCACAAGCAAAGACGTCTAAAATGTCTGCTTCTGGGTGCTGAAAAATTCTTGATTTTGTTTTGATGGAAGAGAAGAATGCCAAAGATAAGGAAGAGAGAAGGGTGGAAAGAAAAATTAAAAGAAATGTTCTACTGTAACAGTAAATAAAAAATATGTACATAAATGAGATAAACTCATAAATTCTAAAAGTTTCTCAAATTGAATTTTAAAAAATCAGTAATATGATGTCTAAAAGAAACAAACTTAGTAGGGTGGTGAACATGATGTAGTCTACAAAGAAATCGAAACATAATGATGTACACCTGAAATTTATATGATGTTATAAACCGTTACCTCAATAAAAATAAATAAATAAACAATAAAAGAAACAAAACAAAATGATACATGAAAAATTGAAGATTAATTCTGGTTCCATTTCTGAGCAGGCTGCTGGCTCCTTCCCCAAGGTCACAAGAGTGGGAAACTGGGGAAAACAAGAAAACCCTATAGATTCATGGGCAGGGGGACAGATATTTTGAACTGGTTTGATTATGAGGTAATGTGGCAGCCTTTACCTAGAGTAGAAGGCAGCCCAGCAAGCAGTTAGGAGGAGGCACTATTGGTGTTCTTTTTGTTGTTTCTTCTTTCTTGCTATATTGTCTTAGGACAATATTGTCTGCTCCACATGTGCAGAAACTTAGGACTCGTGTTCAGATGTCTTCAGGAGTCAGATCAGAGCAGCACTGAAATCCTGCACTTGTGAGAAGCTGAGAAAAACACGAGTTACTACCTGGCCTCTGGCAGTTGTTTCTCTTCCTCTCCCATTCCAAACTCCAAAAGCTGGGAAACTATACTCTAATGAGTATCTCTTTCTTTTGTGTGTGCGAGGAAGATTAGCCCTGAGCTAACATCTGCCAATCCTCCTCTTTTTGCTGAGGAAGACTGGCCCCGAGCTAACATCCGTGCCCGTCCTTTTCTACTTTATATGGGACACCGCCACAGCGTGGCTTGACAAGCGGTGCGTTGGTGCACACCTGGGATCCGAACCCCAGGCCCACGCAGCAGAGCGCGCGCTCTTAACCGCTGCGCCACCGCGCTGGCCCCATGAATATCTCTTTCTAATAGACATCCCCCTGTAGCTAACAGCTGAGGATCTGAACTGTGGAGTTGTTTTCAGAGGTGAGGAGGCACTGACCAGGTTTTCTGGTGCCTGGGGCTCTGCACCCGAGAGACCACACTCTCACTCCTGACCTCAGTGGAGCTGACTAGGTTTGGAGTCTGGTGTTCCCCTCAAAGGACTGCCTGACAGCGTAGCCAGTATCCACAGGAGAAAATGAGTCCACAGCACAAAGTAACAAGGCATGTATTTCACAAGGAAACAACATATCTCAACTACAGATCCCAACCTAAACAAAACAGAGGATCAAGAACTTTTAAATTGGCCAATTAACATATTCAAGGAGATAAAATATTGGCAATATGAAACAAGAACAAGAAAACATTTTTTAGAAACAAGTGAAAGTAATTATTAGAAAAAATAAAAAACAATGCAATCGATGGGATAAAAATAGAATGGATATAGATAAGGAGAAAATTATCACATTGAAAGATCAGAATGAGGAAATCTCCCAAAATTATCACATTGAAAGGTCAGAATGAGGAAATGTCCCAAAATTATCACATTGAAAGGTCAGAATGAGGAAATCTCCCAAAATTATCACATTGAAAGATCAGAATGAGGAAGAGGGAAAGGACAAAAAAACTTTTTAAATATGAAAGAAAAGCTAAGAGATGTAAAGGAGAAAATTAAATTTTCCAGTATCCACACAATGGGAGTCTCAGAAAAAAGAAAGAAAAAGAAAAAGAAGTAATATTTGAAGGAAAAAACCAGAGATATTGAAAGGGCAAGGATTACCAAAGAAGAAAGAGAAGGAAACCTTCTAGATGCATTACAGTGAAATTCCAGAATATCAAACATAAAGAGAAAATATTAAAACTTCCAGAGTATAGCAAACAAGCCAATAAAGGAAAGAAAATGGAATAACAAAAAATAATCAATCCAAGAGACGGCAGGAAAAGAAGAAAAGAGGGAAAATGAATAGATGGGGAAAATGGAAAACAATTAGCAAGATGAGAGAATTAAACTCAGTGGTAACAATAAGTATAGTATATGTAAACAGTCTAAACAACCCACTAAAAAGGCAGAGGTTGTCAGAAGGGATAAAAAGCAAAACCCCACTATACATTATATACAAAAAATCTGTTTTAAATTAAAAGACACAAACAGGTTAAAAGCAAAAGTTAAAAAGAAAAGAAAAAATAGAAAAAGATATACTAGGATGACAGTAATCAAAAGAAAGCTGGAGTAGCTAGTTTAATACCAACAAAGATTTCAGAGCAAAGAGTATTACCAGAGATGAAGAAGTTTGTTTTATAATAATAAAAGGGATCAATCCTAAATATCTATGCACCTAATAAGAGAACTCCAAAATACATGAAGTATAAACTAACAGAACTAAAAAGAAAAAGAGAATAATCCACAATTATAGTCAGAGATTTCAAAACCTCTCTCTCAATAATTGAGATAATAAGTAGAGAGAAAAATCTATAGAATACAGGAGATTTAAACATTATCAACCAACTTGACCTAATTGACATTTATAAAATACTTTGCCAAAATATCACAGAATGCTATTTTTCAAGTGCATATGGAACATTTAACAGAGTAGTGCATTTTCTGAGACATAAAACAAATCTCAATACATTTAAAACTATTCTTTACACAAAGTAGGCTTTCTGATAAAATTGGAATTAAATTTGAAGTCAATAATAAAAATATATCTGAAAAGTCAACAAATATTTGGAAATTAAGAAGTATACATGTAAATAACATATAAAAACAAAGAAGCAATAACAAAAATTATATCTAAATATAATCTGTATGCTAGCAACACAGTTGGAAATTATATTTTTAAAAAACAATATTAAATATTTAGAGAGAAATTTAACAAAATCTGTGCAAGACTTATACAGTAAAAATTACAATACATTACTGAGAGAAATTTTTAAAAATCTAAATAAATGGAGAGCTCTATTATGCTCTTTGATCAAAAGACTGAATACAGGTAAGATGTTAATTCTTCCCAAATTGACCTATAGATTCAAAGCAATCCCAGTCAAAATCCCAAAAGAAATGAAAAGCTGATTCTAAAATGTATAGGGAAATGAAAATAACATAATGATAAAAGATTCATTTTACCAAGAAGATAGACCAATTTTAAACACATAGGTACCAAATAAAATATCTTCAAAATATATTAAGCAAAAATTGATACAAAACAGGAAGACATTGATAAATCCACCATTATAGTGGGGGATTTCTGACATATTACTTTTAAATTATTGAGAAGCCTGGAAAAACAAAACTTAATTTTACATATAATGTATGTACGTATATATACATACACATATGTATGAGAGAGACACACAGAGAAAGAGATACTTTATCCAAAAATAGAACATACATTTTTCACACACACTAAACATTTATAAAAACTGATCAGGGACCATGCCATAAAGAAAACCTCAACAGACTTCAAGAAATAAGATCATTATTAATGTGTTGGTATATTGTGAAAATACAAGGGGAAGATATGTTATACGATATTTCCCAAACTCGTTCCATTACAAAATTCCTGCCTGTCTCCCCGACTTTTTTTTTCTCTACAGAATGCCTATTAATATTCCCAGGCACTTTCTTTTTTAAAGAATTCATAGTCACCTTTAAAAACCCTTATTCTTCCTTGTTTTGAGGCTCCTTTCTTGACCCATTGGCATTTACTCTACAGGCTTTGGAAGCTTGCAAAGATGCTGGCTTGGTGAAATCCCTTGGAGTATCCAATTTTAACCGCAGGCAGCTGGAGCTCATCCTGAACAAACCAGGACTCAAATATAAGCCAGTCAGCAACCAGGTACCTCTTGACAGGGGAGTGGGAGGCAACCCGGGGGGCAGGGGGCTGGGGGATCCAATATTTACTTAACAGAAAGAACCCTGGGCAAGGAATGAGCAAGTCTGTGGTCACTCTACATGCATCTCATCATAAGACTCTGGGCAAGTCTTTTGACTTCTCTCAATTTAAGTCCCTTAAGAAAAAAGATTTGGAAGTTCAAATTCATGCAAAAGTAACTCCAAAAATTTTTTGAAGAAAAATAATGAGGGGGAACAAGACCTGCCAGATATTAAGACATAACAAAGTATTTAAAATAATGTAAATAGTGCAAGAACCAACATACAAATAAGTAGAAAATAAATATCTTAGAAACAGGCCCAAGTATACTAAAACTTACTGGAAAACAAAATAGCACAAACTAGTAGCAAAGGGATGGATTTTTCAGTAAATAGTGTGGGGCAAATGGCTAGTGATGTAGAAACAAATAGAGATCTTTGCTTCATGTCATACGCCAAAGTGCCCCTTTGATCAAGAGTTAAAGAAGAAAAGGGAAATCGTTTGTAAACACTACAAAGAACTTTAGTTTTCTGGAGCAATGGATAGAAAAGACAGCCATGGGAAAATTATAAAGAAAACTGATACATTTAATAGTATAAAAATATTAAACTCTAAAAATATTAGAAACAAAGAGCAAACAAAATTTTGCTTTTTAAAAAATATAATTATATTTTTAAAAATATAATAGAAAAAAGGAGATCATATCCTTATGAATTAAAAGCCTAATAAAAATCAATGAAAAAAATCAATGAGAAAAAAAAACTCAACAGAAAAATGGGCAAAAGAAATGAACAGAAATTCACAGAATACAAATTACAAGACTGGTAAACACATGAAAAATGTTCAACTGCACTAATAATTGCAGAAATTTAAGTGTTATTTTGTATTGTATATCAAATTAGCAAAGCTTTTGTTTTAGTTTTTAATATAATGTTCCATGTAAGCAAGAGATGAAGTGCTGGAAAGTGCAAACTTGCTCAGCCTTACTGGAAAGCAATTTGGCAATAAGTATCAAGAGCCCTAAAAATGTTCACAGTCCTCTATTTCTAGGAATTTACCCTTGTGAAAAAAACCAGAATGCCCAACATGTGTGTTTGTCACAGCACTGTTTATAATGGCACAAAAAAAGGGAAATGACACAAATATGAAAAATTAGGGGAATGCTTAAATAAATTACAAAACATTCATGTTATGTGAAATCTTAACAAAAGATGTTCTTGAATCATTTCTGAGGAAAAGAGAAATGGCCATGATATTAAGAGGAAAGACCAGGATACAAAATGTAATACAGTATGAAGGCGATCATATTATGAAAAACCATGCATAGAAAAAAAGATTGGAAAGAAATACATCAAAATACTAACTGTGGTTTTCTCTGACTGTGAATTTTGTTTTCTTCTTTATGCCTTTCTGTATTTTCCAAGTCTTCTGTAGTGAGTATATATTACTTTCATAATCACAAAAAAATACTATTATCCATCTTGTCCAATGGGGATAATGATACCCTCTTCACCCTCCTTCATAAAACATTAAGAAACCACTTGGATTCTTGGATTGGGTATATATTCACATAATGTGATTATGGTTGGCTTGTTTGTTTGATTCATTGTTTTTAGTAACTTCAAAAGCGTCTGGTATGAGTTAATAACAGAAAGAATGAATTATTACCTACATCATGACAATAGCCCACAGCTAAAATAGAAGCATTGTTATATTTAAAAGCACCACTTCTGAATTGACACCTAAGCTAACACTATACCATATGCTCTCAGAAACAGAGGAACAACAACGTTTGACGTCCTAACCGATCTCAATCCATCCCTTTATTCCTACCGTACCCCTCAGCAGCGCAACTCCTTCCTGCACCCCCAAGAACAATATTTTGTTATAAAATGTTGAAATGACGAACAGGTTTCTTCTTATAAATATACAGAGAAAGATGGTGATTTTTGAGCTCAGAATGAAAAACAGAGTAAAAATTGGACAGTGTCCCCTCATGCCAAGGAGGAAATACCCTGACCTGTTGGCACAAGAATATTGATCAGCTTCAAAAATCTAACCCACGAGGGAAGCAGACATATTGGAAGATCATAGCCTGAGCCTACTCACGTGTTCCGTGGTGTCTGAAAGTGGAAGTACATCAATACTCTAGAGACGGCACAGATCAAAGTGCAGGTCTCCTGGCCACCAGCCATTACCCTGTGCACTGGGTAGGACCATCTCTTCTACTCTAAAGATCCAAAATGAGCAGCTTTCAGCACACAAGCACAAGCAGTTTTCAATCCAGGAACATGATGAGCATATTGTGGGCATTATACAAAGTGGACACATTTTATGTGCAAAGGATACAGACCTGAAGACCATGCATAATACAAAATTCACATATTTCGAAACTAATTTTCTCATTAGAATAAATCTAAAGTAAAATTTGCAAATTTTTGTTTTTTTCATTGACTTCATGAAAAAATTCACATAGAATATAACCTCACTCTATACTTATTCTCAGGGCCTGAGCATGCCAAGATTCCTTAGTACCACCTGTGATGTCCATCTGAAGAAACGTGTCTCCTGGCTTAGTCTATCTGAAACCCTTCCTGGTGGGCAACTTGTCATCAGTGCTTTCCCAGCCTAATTCAAAGGAGACTGCAGATCTACTTCAGGCCATTTAATTTCATACAAAGTTCCAAACCTAACTCTACTAACATAGTGGAGAGGGGAGGAAGGGAGGGAGGAGTTAAAAGGAGGGTGGGAGGGAAGGAGAAAGGAAAGGTATCAAAATTCTTCCAAGTTTTTCCTGACCCTATTCTCTATGCCTAAATCACAGGTGTCCTGACACACAGAAGTCAATAAATATTTCTTGAGTAACTTAATTAATAAAAGGAAAATTCAATGCAGTTTTTTACAGACAGACAGAAGAGGATGGGGTTAATTAACTAAAGGGCTTTTGCTATTTTTCTTCACGAATTCTGTCCAGCTGCTTAACTTCACATTGTGAGATTTCGTTATCTATCGCTATAGCCTTACCAAATAGTTCTGTAAAAGCCCCTAAAATGTCAAGACACTGACAAGTTACATCAATTTTACATAGCAAACAAGAAAAAGTAAACCTGCGTCTCCACTGGCCCATTCGCAAAGGGCTGGAACCAGCCCCTAATAAAGAAGGGAGGCAAGTGTGCTTAAATATGCTTCTACTTGGAAATGAGGAAGTTCCAAGACAATGAAAACATCAGAAACCATCACCACCCTCTACCTTGGCCTCAGCATCCGGTCCCAGCCCACTCAACAAGGATCATTTCCTGGCCTGAAATGACCCCAGGAAGCTGCAGCCCTTCTGAAGCCCAGCCTACACCAGTCTGCAGCATCAGTAGTGGTGTTTCCCAAGAGTCTGGCTTTGTCCTCTAGTACAGTTGTTGTTTTCATTCATTCAACAAATAGTCATCGAGCACCTGGCTTATGCCAGGCACTTGGCTAGGTTCTAGGCATTCAAAAGTGACCCAAGACAGATAGAGTCCTTGCTATCATGGCGCTAGCTGTCTAGTGGGACCAGACATTAATCAAACAATCACCAAAGTTATTTATAATTAGAAAATGAGATAAACGCTGTGGAAAGAAGGAATGTGGTTCTCTGAGTTCATATGCACTTGGATCGTATTAGCTTATCCACTCCCACCCCCATCCCCATAATTTCCCTCACTAAGTGACCCTTCAGTGATACGCCCTAAAATTTTTATCTAAGAACCATCTATGCAAAGATTTATATTATTCTTTATAGTTTATATTATATTTGAGTTTATATTACATTAACTCAAAAGTTCTGTTAAATACATGTTTCTAGTATGTACTATGCTATGAGTACATATATACTCGTATGTACTAACGCAACTCTCTGTAAAGTCCCAAATTTGTTCAATCACAGATTCTGTATTCACACACCTGTTTGTTCTATTTTTAACTGTATTAGCCTTATTATACATACCTTTTGCTACAAACCATATAAAATCCTTTTTCAAAGGGTAGTTTATAAAAATGTTCAACATATATATAAACACGCACACACATATATATAAATATGGATATACACATACATGCATGTACGTGTTTAATAGGCCAGAGGCAGGTCATGGCACTCCAACCTCATTAGAAAGGCGGGTAAAATTTGTGGGTAAAATTAAATGTTGTATTTGGAACAAGCAGGCAGGCATTAAATTAAGGAATTCATACTTAGTGTCTAAGCAGTAGAGTGACACGATAAAACATGTTTTGGAAAGATCTTTAAGTCGACCAATGATAAACAAGCTTGAAAATAAAAAGAGGGCTGAAAGTGGAGGGTGATGTTGGGAGTGGGAGAGAGTAGAGGAAAGAAATACGATGAACACTATGATTCCTAACTTATTTTAGTCTATGTGTCACTTTTGAGAATCGTTTAAGAAATGTTCCAAACGGGGGGAAAATCCACAAGTGTGTCTTAGGGAAAGGGAGGGAGCAAGATTATCGGAATGAGGGGAGAGAGAAGAAATAGTAGAAACTGACATCAAAAAAAAATCTATACCAAACTAGAAAAAGGAAAGAAGACCCATCACTATGAGCCCCAGTTTACCTTTCTACTTCATCAATAGCATTTCTTGTGCCTTCTAGAAATGTAACTTGTCAAATATTCAGTCTTCCAGGTGGTGAAAATAATAAGTACATTCTTAAAATATTTTAATTAAGCCTTGGTTGATTTTAATTAAAAAGAAAAGAAAAGCATAGGTGAAAAACTACCATTGTGTTTAAGAAGAAACTTTGAGAACTTTGTCGACACAGGTATTTGTAGTGCAGGGATCTTGTCAATAAGATACTGAAAATAAGAGTAGGCTTACGTTTGGTGGTGTAAAGACCTCTCAGCCAAGAAGACAAAATTATCTTTAAATTTAGTTTCACACATGCTCTACCTCTTGTGAAAATATTCTTACATGTTTGATAGCTAGGGACAGAGGCTTCTGCAACATGTCCCTTCTACTTATCAACACTGTAATCTGAACTTTGCGACTGTATGTTTGTTATGGAAAACTGTATTTGGTAGAATGTTTACTATAAATAACTGAGTTTGTTCACCTAAACTATGATACCTATACAGAATTGAATTTGTTCCCCAGTTATTTTAGAATTAAGCCACAGATGGTGACCATTACTAACCTTGTTTTAATTAATCTCACTGGTATATAAATAATGTAATTTTCTTGTTAGGAAAAATATTTAGGATTTTCCTCATTATCCATAACACTTTTAAATGGATTTTATTGAAGAACTTTTATTTTAATTATGTAAAATTGCATTCATCTACGAGGCCTTAATTTTGTGCTCTGTTCTCCACTGCAACCACATAGGTTGAGTGCCATCCATATTTCACCCAGCCAAAACTCCTGAAATTCTGCCAACAACATGACATTGTCATTATTGCATACAGCCCTTTGGGGACCTCTAGGAATCCAACTTGGTAAGTAATGCTGTATGTCTCTTTAGGAAGTGTTTCCTTTGGTGTAGAGTATGAGGCTAATGTGAATTACTTGATTGAAATGACTCTATTTGGCTGTGTGATCTTAAGAAAGCAACTTAACTTCTTCGAGTCATTCTCCATATATACAAATTAGAGCTAATAAAACCTTCCTCACTGAGGTGTTGTAAGAATCGATTATACTATATGTATGAAATTCCCTAACAGTGTCTGAAACACAAGAAATGCTCAATAAATATTAGTTTAGGTATTATTTGACAAAGAGTCTCTAAGGTCATATTCTGAAATTTTAGAATTTTTTGATCTCTGTATTCAATGGCGACACTTCTACTGTGACGTGTTCCACAGACTTAAGTAGAAATTTTTCTACTCTAAGATGATTCCAAGAGTTGTGCCTCTAGTTCTTCCACTTCAGTCTTCCTGCTCTCCCCTTTATGCTTACTTCCAACCCTGTTCTCTCTGTTAGACCCATCGAAGAAATATGATTTACCCTTTGAAAGAGACAGCTCTGTAACCTTGCCTCTCTTGACCTTCCCATACTAAGAGCAACTCTTCATGGAGTACTCTGCACTCAGAGAAATTGGTTACAGGTGACCTGAGGTGTCCTGGTAGGTTACCAGGTGAATGGGGAGACAGAGGAGGAGAGGGATTGATTAGCCATTGGTTCTCATTACTGGAGCTAAATACGATGCATGTTTTGATTTTTTTTTAAATCAAAGGGTGAATTTATCTTCCCCACCTTTGTTAGAGGATGCGCTTCTCAACTCATTGGGGAAAAAGTATAATAAGACAGCAGCTCAAGTTGTTTTGCGTTTCAACATCCAGCGAGGAGTGGTTGTCATTCCTAAAAGCTTTACCCCTGAAAGGATCAAAGAAAACTTTCAGGTAAGAGAACCCCTTCTGGAAATGTAAAAAGTAGAGTATTTTTTATTTAGAGAATTTTCTGTTCAGATTAATAGAAAACTTGTAATGCCTTCATATTTTATTTTATACCAGCTCCCCAAACCCACTCTGCCCATATCTGGATTTAATCTTAGCTGAATGTGAGACAATTCCTGGTACTTCAGGATTGCTTTGCTGCTTACACATTACCCAGCTCCCTTATTTCTTCTCTTTCCTTTTACCTATTGACTCTTGACACTACCTATTCACTTCTCCGCCAGCACAGCAGGAATAGAAGGTATAAAATCTGAAATTCATAGTAGTCAACTTTCCACCTTAATGACTCAGGTAAAGGTTGGGGACAAATTTGGAAATTATTGAAGAGGATCCTTTAGACTTCAAGAATGCTGCTTGCCTTTATTCCCTCTATAAATAATCTGTGATCAGCCTTGTAACTTACAGATGAGAAAAGAGGCCACTAGACAAAGGAGAGATTAGTTTACTCTGCTACTACTAAAGACTAAACTGCTGGGTAAATACAGCCATGGAAAAGTACCATGTAAAATTAATCAATTACCCATCAGTTAATAATTTAAATTTCAAAATTTTTTTCTTACTGATATTTAAAGAGAAAAATGAGATAGTATTTATTCCCTTAGATAGGAAAATAATCAGAATGTTGATGATATGTGGGAAAAATTTCATATACTGCTGTTGGAAACATTAATTGGCATAAGATTTGGGGGAGGAAGACGTCATTTTTCCAGACCCATCAAAATTCAAATGCACATATCCATTGACCCAACAATCTTATCCTATAGATGTATTTGCACATATGTATGTGCATATGTGCATATATATCCACATATACGTGGATGTTTATTGTGGCATTATTTATCATTTAAAAAACTGGAAACAATCTACAGTAGGATCTTATAAAACAAATTATGATATATTTGTACAATGAAATATATAGCCATTTTAAAATAATGAAATGAAAATATAAGTACTGACATGTGAAGATATCCATGATATTAGACAAATTTATCTTCATGGCTTTTTTGCTACCACAGGACAGAACGCAACTCAAGTTTAGCAAAGAAAAAGAAACAGAGTTTATTGGCTCACATAACTGGAAAGTCCATGGCTAGATCAGACGTGACTGGACACAAGCATTCAAATGATTTATAAAAGGATTAAGTTCTCTCTCTCTCTCTCTCTCTCCGCCCCTCTCCCCCACATGGTGGCACAAACTGTCCAGGCTAATCTCTTACTCATATTCAGAAAAGATGATCACATATAAAGGCTTCTGTTGGGGTCTCTGTCAATCCCTGATTATCCCTTTGTGGGTCATTAGCCACCCTTATATTAATCACGGTGTCCAGTAAGCAAGATACCTTGATTGGCACCTTGGGCTACATCCATATTCCTGTGCTGGAGGAGGTGAGGTCATGTGGCAAACAGCCCCACTAGGTGGGGGAAGGGAAGTTCATAAAAGGAAAAAAGGGATTCTGTTATTAGAAAAAAGGGGAAACAATGCTGAACATTTAAACCAACTACCAACAGTATTTTAACTTTATTTAACTTACCAAAATACCTCTTACTAGCAAGTGGTTGACACGATGTTTTTAGTCATCTTAAAAGAATAAGAGATCCACTGCATGGCTAATGTGTAGGTTCATCAACAGTTAAAACAAAACAAATTTTGATGCACCTGAAACGAATGTTTTCACGGATTCAAAATTTTACTGTTTGGAAATGGAGAGTGGTTACTAATCGTCTGTGCAATGGAAGCTTAAATCTTTTGGACTTTATGACATTTAGCAAATCACAATTTTGTACTGAAGGAACTGTCATTCTCCTTAAAATTTTTCATTACAACCAATTCTGCTATATTCCATAATTCTATAGCCCTGATAATAAGGGAATGGAGTTCAGAGATTCACATACCACAAGAAAATATGAAAGGGATACAGATTTACCAGGAAAATGAGAGTGGAAATCACAGCCAATTTCCACTCTTTAGGGTATAGACTCACCCTATAACCATGAATTTTGCTGGGTATTAAACCAAGAATCAACAAAATAGAAAATTATGCTCTTTTAGAGCTGAAGTAAAATAAACTTAAAAATATTTTAAAAGAGTGGTAAAGACCCACAAAACATAAAGGGTAAAGGGAAAATTAAATAAGTTTACTATAAAAGAAGAGAAAGTCATAGAAATAAATTATGTAATAAAAAGTTAAGTTAAACCATAAATTTAAAAACTGGATAAAATTAAAGGTAAAAATGAAGAAAACCAATACAGAGGCAGAATAGTTTTCAAGTTAAAACAACAATGAAAAAGTACCAAATTACACCACCAGCCTTGTTGCCATCATCCACATTCCTTGGAGATTTTCTCTCTTGACTCACTTTCAGTCTCTCCAACACTCCTCCTCTCATAATTCTTAGCGAATTCAACATCCACATAGATGGTCCTTCCAACACCCTGGCCTGACAGTTCCTTGACTTCCTCTCTCCCAATGATCTTGTCCTATATATCTCAGCCACTAATTCCAATGGCTATTCCTTGGAAATTGCAATTACTAATACCTAATAACTCCTCCATAATCTCAAACATCCCACTCTCTCTCCTGCATTATCAGTTGTTCCTCTCTACTACATAATTCCCATCAACATACAAACATTTTGTAACCTCCAATCTTAAAAAGTAAAATTCAGGGGCCAGCCCCATGGCCTAGTGGTTAAGTTCGGCACGCTCTGTGTCAGTAGGCCAGCTTTGGTTCCCGGGTATGGACCTACACCACTCGTGGGCAGCCATGCTGTGGTGGGGACCCACATACAAAATAGAGGAAGACTGGCACAGATGTTAGCTCAGGACAAATCTTCATCAAGCAGAAAGAGGAAGATTGCCAACAGATGTTAGCTCAGGGTGAATATTGCTCAACAACAACAAAAAAAGTAAAATTCAGTCCAGGCTCACTTTCCTCTTCAGCTATTATCCATTTCTCTCTTTCTGGTTACAGCAAACCTCTTAAAAGAGAATTCTCTTCTCACCGCCTCCAAGTTCTTTCCCCATCCCCACCCCAAACCCATCAACCAAGCTTTCACTCTGACCATCCCACTGACACAGCTCTTGTCAAGGTTAGCAGTAACCCCCACATTGCTAGAGCCAACAATTAGTTTTCAGTTCTTGTCCTACTACATCTTTCAACAGTGTTTAATACCGTTAGCACTCTCTCCTTCTTAAAACATTTACTAGAAGAGAAGCAGGTTTGGGGGGTAATATCAGGAGCTCAGTTTTGTAATATGAGATCCTCATTCACTTAAGATAGTTTGCGTCATGAAAAAAAAAGACCGCTGAATCCACATAAAAGAAGGAAAAACTGCACAGAAACAATGGAGGAAGGGGAAATTTGGAAGTTTATCTTAAAATTGAAACCGAAATTTATGAAAGTAATTTTACTTATTTTATATTCAACAAAATTAAAGTTACAATTGCATATGCGCAATAAATCTTAGAAGAAACAGTGAATCAGTGTTGATTTTTTAAAATAGACTTGACAAAACTACATGATAACACAACAGGACATCCTCTACTTCACAGAGGTTTTTGCAGAGTGATCACAAAGAGAATAATTTTGATAAAATTTCAGAGGGCTTCATCTGAAGGAGATTCTTAATCCTTTTATTTTTTTCAAATCATGCTCTTTTGATATATTTACCAAAGTAGATTTTAGCTGTGTCAGATTCTTATTTGAAAAAGATTGTGCCTACAATTAGAGCAAATCTCCAAGATCACTTTCCTTGACTTCATGAAATCCTACATCTTGGCCAAGATTTGCAACTTCACTTTGCCATTAGGGCTCATTGAATATTCACCGGAGTCGGAGACTGACTCACTGACACTCAGAGGGTGGGCAAAAGGGCACTTTGCGCAGCAAGGCTTCATTTTATATGTGATTGCTTCATTCGTGACTGTTTTTATGTTATGAAAACTTTTGATTTCTTACACAATACTTGGATAATAAATATCAAAGAAAGGATTCCCTGAAAAGAGCACTTAGAAGCAATCCATGGGGGATGATTAAGTAAATTGTGTTACATGGACGCAGTGGTTAAATGAGTAAAGTCAGTCTATATATTTTAACAGAAAAGATCACCAAGACAGGTTATGTAAATGAAAGAAATTGCAGAATAATAAAGATAAGATACAATTATTGCATTTTGCTCTCAGTGTGTTCAGTGTTTGGAAGGAATATCTGGGAAGGGGGATAGGACTGGGGTGGTGGGTAACAAGAGGAACTTTTTCCTTTTTATCCCATACATGTCCATGTACTTCTGTAGTGTTTCATTTCTTTACGAAGAACATATATTTATGTATTACTTATATAATTAAAGTTTGTAAATTGTTAAATACTCTAAAATAAAAGTTATGGGTTAGCAAAATAAAACAATAAAGTAAGAGCAGATAAATTATAAATAGATAAACCAAATATTAAAAACATAAATAAGCTAAAATAAAATTTTTAAATGTTAATAAAGGACATTTGTAAAAACCAGAGTATAAAGTGTACAAGCTAAGAAAAAAATAAAACAATGAAAATGTAATTAGAGTTAAAAGGTAGAAGAAGAGACATTACAAATGAGGAGAGAAAGAAGAAAAAACTTGAAGAAGATAGAACAAAGCAAATTAACAGTTAAAAAAATACATAGCCAAATTTATCAACTAGAAAATATTTAAAAAAACAAAATAGTGTTCGAAGGCCATAGTCCAGAATCAAAGTTCAGCATCTTATCCGGAAATAATAAGAATTCTTCACTCTTGGAACTTCAGGAGATGTCTGAATATATGTTGTTTCAGAGCATTTGGAATTTCTTGCAAGATGTCCCCAGCAGGACTGTCTTAAAGACAAAGGACAGGGCAGGGCCCGTGGCTTAGCGGTTAAGTGCGCGCACTCCGCTGCTGCCAGCCCGGGTTCGGATCCCGGGCGCGTACCAACGCACCGCTTCTCCAGCCATGCTGAGGCCGCGTCCCACATACAGCAACTAGAAGGATGTGCAGCTATGACATACAACTATCTACTGGGGCTTTGGGGGAAAAAATAAATAAAAATAAAATTATAAAAAAAAAAAAAAAGACAAAGGACAAAAGCGAATTCCAGTTCCACATCGGTTCCACTAGTTCAGCTCCCCTTAGACATCTGCAGAGATGTTCATAAATCTTTGAAGCGGGGCCAGCCCGGTGGCATAGCGGTTAAGTGCACGTGCTGAGCTGTTGGCAGCCCGGGTTCGGATACCAGGCGCACCGATGCACGGCTTGTCAGGGCATGCTGTGGCAGCATCCCATATAACGTGGAGGAAGATGGGCACAGATGTTAGCCCAGGGCCAGTCTTCCTCAGCAAAAAGAGGAGGATTGGCATGGATGTTAGCTCAGAGCTGATCTTCCTCACAAAAAAAAAAAAAAAAAAAAATCTTTGAAGGGCTCTCACTGCTGGCCCCACTATCTGAGCCCAAGCTTGACCCATCACCTACCATTAAAAATATGTCTTTTATTTCAGATCTTTGACTTTTCTTTCACTGAAAAAGAAATGAAGGACATTGAAGCCTTGAATAAAAACGTCCGCTTCGTGGAACTGTTAATGTGAGTTCTGGGGGATCATTACTCAGGCACTGCCTCGTGGTGTTGGATTGTCAAGCATCTGGGCTCTTATGAACCCAGACCTATGTCCACAGAAAATACAAGCGTAAGGCCAGTGGGCAGCATGTTCTGTATATTAAACAGGTCTGGGTGAATTGGATCCACTCTAGGATCTTCCTAAAAATCTACATTTTTATTTAAAAGAAGTTTTCTGGCATTTATATGACATCTCATGACTTAGGTTAAGTTATGGGAGGCTAAAGACCTTGGGGAGAACTAAGTCATAGCGTATATATGTTAACACAATAGTGGCACAATTATTATATATATGATATATATATTATATATACGTATAAAAGAATATAGCTTATAAATATATATACACACACATATATTTGTATACATACACACACATTTTTTTCTCCTTAATCATTCTTTATTAGTATTTCCAGTTCTTCAAATCACCTGGATAGTCATCCTCTTTCTGCACATGACTCTTTAAGTGTTTAGAAAATGCTTATTAAAATGGTTCAGATAGTTTGGACACTTCACTTATAGGCCCCACTATTTTTCATGAGTCAGAAAGTGCTCTGACTGTGCTATTGAATTTCTTAATTAATGAAACAGCTTCCTATGTGAGTTTTCCAGGGGAAAAAATTATTTGACATCAAAAGCACCACCTAGCCTTGAGAATAAGAGTAAACACCAGGGCCGGCCTGGTAGTGCAAGCAGTTGGGTGCACACGCTTCGCTGCTGGCGGCCCAGGGTTCGCCCGTTTGGATCCCAGGCGCGTACCGACGCACCGCTTATTAAGCCATGCTGTGGCGGCGTCCCATATAAAGTGGAGGAAGAGGGGCACGGATGTTAGCCCAGGGCCAGTCTTCCTCAGCGAAAAAGAAGGGGATTGGCATTGGATGTTAGCTCAGGGCTGGTCCTCCTCACAAATAAAAAAAATAAAAAAGAGTGAACACCAACTCAGAACTAACCAACACGTATAGGTTAATTAATAGCTCTTGAAAACGGACAATTTCTATTGAGTAAATATTAAATTAAGAAGAGAAGTAAGATATAGTCAATCTACAAATGTACTGATTTTTTTACAGACCGTTAGTTGGTGACATTATTCGGTTTGATATTTGACATATTTAATACCTAATTCTAGCAACGCTGGGAAAATAACTCATCATACCAGGAAACAACTAGAAAAATCAGCAAGGAGAAATAAAGATTAGGCCCCATTGGTCAAAAAAATGTATCATTTAGGGATATTGGGCCATGATTCATCTCTGTTTTTCATCCAGTTGATCTTAGACACTGAGAGCCTTTTTTTGTTTTGTTTTATATTTTTATTTAAAGCTCATAGTACTTGCAGAGACAGAGAACTGAATCTTGGATATGTTCCATGACAGGCACACACATACTCCAGTAGTTTTATAGACTGTTTCACTACCGTCATTTAAGAGATTTGTTCATCATCACCATTATTGGCATGGAAACTTACTTTGCTGGTCATCATCTTTCTAGATCTCAAACTTTCAGTTCTCAGGAGGCCTAGTGAGAAGGGCAAGTAAAAACTCTGAGAAGACAGTGACACTGACTGGTCACAGAGCTTTGAAGAGAAATGCCTATGTGCTTCACTGAAATGGGAGGCAGCCTGTATCAGGAGCAGAAGGGAGGAAGGAGTTGGGAAGAGGCATGAAAACACAGGCAGGCATCGCTCACCTCCTGTGTTTTTGTTCTAAACAAAATGTAATGTGGAGGCAATCAGCCTCCCCCTCTCTCACCCTACACACACACTTACACTCAGGGTGCTGTCCAGGGCTTCAGTAAAAGGTGCTGACTTGAGGAAAAACAGGGAAGGAGAGTGGGTGAGCAACAGAGAGGGAATGAGTAAGAGAGAGAGGGAGTAAGCAGTGAAATTGTCAAAGGATGCTAGTAACACACACAGCTGTGTAACTCTGGAGTGAAATTTTTCCCTTTGGGAAATTGTTTTGGCAGGTGGAGTGATCATCCTGAATACCCATTTCATGATGAATACTGACTTCAGAGAGCTTCTGAACTGATTTTTCCCTCCCATGTGTGTCAGGACCTTTGGCTGTGTAGTTCCACCAGATGTGAAAATGAAAGGAGTTTTCCTATCCTCACATGAAGTGGTGATGGAAACATGCTTAATTTTTGTGTAGTGTAAGTGACTTTGACCTAGCTACATTGGAGAAAAAAATGTTTAAATCTGTTGAAATAATTATTTGGAAATTATCAGCTAATATTTTATTAGATCAATGTCTTCTGGGTTTCCAAACAAAAAAACATCAAGCTTTAGAAAAGACTTCAGAGGCAACATATAAAGATAAATAACATGAATCTGAGTACTACCACTGGTAGTCTGAGTTCTTTAGTAGTTAACAGGGCAACAAAAATTGTGGAGAGCTGGCACATGCCATTGTGCTGGCAGTGGCCTTGATGGTTTGCACCATTGACTGTAAGACAGACACAGCCAAGATAAGAACCACACGTGCATTATTAACAAGGCGTGATTTGCTGCACCTTGAGTAGAGAGAAAGGGCTAAGTGTAGAAGAGTCTTAAAATAGAGCTAATTAAACACTACAGCAGTCAGCAAAGCCATAATGACTTAGTTTTTGTCTGTTTCCATCCAATGTATGTTTGTTTAGTTTTTACCTAGCTTGAGGAACAGATAATTGCTGGTTCCCTCTTGCATGCTTTAAAGGGCTTGAGCTTCAACCTAACTGGTGATTCAGACTTACACTGCCTGTCACTCTTGCCCCCATTCATCACAGGACAGCCATTATGTGAAGTGGCTTGAGACAGCCAACATATACAAATAAAGCCCTGTATCGTAAAATAGTCCAAAGATGACTATTTTAAAAGAAGGCATTTAAAAAGGAGGCTTTAGGAAACATATTGAAAAAACAGGTTTTATAAAATTATTATACTTAAGACTTTGAAAATGTTATTGGGACACCTATGTGAATTTTGAGAAAGTAGCAAGTTTAAAAGAACACTAGTAATTTTACTGTACGTAAATTTTTTTTAAAGTGAATAAGAAGATTATTAAAATTCCACAATAGAGATGTACCTATTTTCAGTTCAACTAGAGCAATAAATTTTATTGATTCACACTAAGTCACTCTCACAGGGCAAGAGAGTTCTTCAAAAATTATGTTTGCCCAAGACCAACTGTTTTCAGACCATCTTCAATGATCAGAAAACATATATTTCTCAGAAATGATCACTTTAAAAAAAACTGATCTTGACTCATTGTTTCCACGGATTCTAATATTAATACTTATTATGCTGTCTTCTGGAAAATTTCTTGTTCAAAAGAAATAATAAAATATACTGATTTGTTTCACCTCATGAGTCTCCATTTCTTGCTTGGGATGGGGGAAGGTGGGAGACTCATCTGAATTCAATTAAAAGACTTGTGATTGTGTTCCTACCGTACATTAAGCACTGGGCAGAGAGGGAAGAAACACGGGTACCATCATGGAAGAACAGAAACTCGAGTCCTGATCCCTGTTGTCAGACCCCTTCAAAATATTTTGAGGGGCGTGGTGTGGAAGAGGGACCACACCTATCAAACTATTTTTAAAAGGCAGGCATTTGAAAAGAGTCCCACCATTTTTCAGGGGAAAAAAATATATTTCTAAAGATTGAAGGGTTGCAATCCTCTCTTAGTCATAACAGAGATGGAGGGAAGAGTTGAAGACAGAAAGGAGGAAGGTCAGGAAAGAGTGACAGTCTGATATGAGCTTCTGCATGTCACTTCTTCCTCCACTCTTACCCTCTCAAGATTCCCATCTATTTTGGGGATGAACTGTGTCCCCCTAAAATTCGTATGTTGATGTTGTGGCCCCCATTACCTCAGAATGTGACCTTATTTGGAAATAGGGTCATTGCATATGTAATTAGTTAAGATGAGGTCCTACTAGAGTAGGGTGGACCCTAATCCAATCTGACTGGTGTCCTTATAAAAAGGGGAAATATGGACACAGACAACATACAGGGAGAACACCATATGTAGATAGAGGCAGAGATCGGAGCGATGCTTTTACAAGTAAAGGAACCCCTAAAGATTTCCAGCAAACCACCAGAAGCTAGAGAAGCATGGACCAGATTCTCCTTCACAGCCCTCAGACAGAACCAACCCTGCCAAGACTTTGATCTTGGACTTCTGGCCTCCAGAATTGTGAGACAATAAATTTCTGTTGTTTAAGTCACCCAGCTTGTGGCACTTTGTTATAGCAGCCCTGGAAAACAAATACATCATCCCTCAGTCGACATTTCCAGTCTCTCCATCTGACATCAGCAGTAAAAATGGCCTTGCTTAGTCAATGCTTTGCTGAGCTCAGATACTGATGACCAATAATTTTGACCCTCTTGGGAACTCTTGCAAACCCAGAGATGTTTGCTAACCCAACTCAATCTTCTTTCTAATCAGAGGCTTCTGATCAGCTATAGAGTAAGATATATCAGTAGTGATGTAACCTGCCTGGAAAAGGAGAGTAGGCCAACAGCATACCATGCTCACTGATCCATAAAAACACATGGACTGGAGCGCAAGGAGTAACCGCCCCAGCCTGCAGAATGTTTCTTGATCTGCCTATCCCTGACTGTTGTCACTGGAGGACCTCCTTCAGGCACTGACTTCCATAGATAATGACATGGAAGAGGCCATGAGAGATGCATAGGCAACGATCCCATGTGTGCAGGCTTCAACACTTTGAGATGTGCCCACTTCATGCCCACAGTTACAGGAGTTAACAAAGGTTGAGCTAAATCATATTTCCCAGGCTTGCCATTTCTCTGGAACTCCTTTAAAATTTTAGGCTTCTGCTGGTAACTTCAATTTCTGGTAGCTGCAGACTAGTAACTAAATCTGGATATCCTGTAGAGCCCTGATCCTTGACTGAACTCTCCCTAAATCTGAACTGTAGCCTTCATGTTCCTACCTCCAGATACCCAATCTCCAAGTTCTTACTACTCTTGGCTGGGCAGGGGGT